CGAACCCGCCAAGAACCCATGAGCCTGTATATTACTGAATTACAATAGTAATACATACTGTAACACATATAAATGAGTGTAATTTGGTATAAATTACCTGTATTTAAATCTCTTGGCGGGTTTTGGGTCAAGGGTCGAAACCCAACCCGCGATTTTGGCGAGGTGTAGCCCCGACACAATGTTCTTTCTTGCTACCAAGCAACTCTTCCACTCTCAGGTCGGTCTCTTCGACGGCACGGCACTCAAGTGTGAAGAGAGAACCAGTCTCTACCATTTACTTGTTCTTTGACTTGCCTTCGTTCCTTGTGCCTTCTTTGATCGCACCCACCTCCTGCCATGTCATCTCATGGTTCTGTTCCGTCCGACGAGAGCGATACTACCCCAGGCCATTCTGCGGTTTTTTCGGACCACGCTTCCGACACTGATTCCTCCACCGAGCCCAGCGTCTTCGACTCAAGCAGCGAGTGTGAAGATGAATCCGAAGATGATTCCGAAGATGAGCTGGTATCGGAAGAGGAAGAGGAGCAACTTCCACCAGAATACTACCTCCACGAAGCCGAGTCTCTTGATGTCTCCCAGCTTCGACAGAAACGCTACAGCCCGAATACCCAAAGGTGTTTGGATGATACGCAATATTTCTGGGACCAGTGAGAATTCACTACACCCTTCTACCTTTGCTTAGTTCGCTGATTGTTCTAGGTTCTGCAAAGGCACGAAGCGCGATCCGGTGGAATGTTTGTTCTGGCTCTCTGATACCGAGGAGACGGTCCGCTTCCTCAAGGCTCTCTTCTCCTGGCGGTGTGACCAGCGACGGGGAAAGGATGGACGTCACACCGCGGGAGTGAATACCAAAAGCACGCTCGACGCATTTTGGAAGTGGTGGCATCTGATCTACAAGGCCGAGGTTGGACATGGCGTCAGCAAAGATGTCCATGTTAAGATCCGTGACGTGAGATCCTGATTGAATATCTATATCGATAAAAAATTGACCAGGCTGACTTTCAATAGGTGCTTGCGATAGTTGCGACAGAAAAAAGCCTTTCTCTGAAAGGTCGACCGAAAGTGACTATGTATGTCGAAGATGTCGCCGAGTTTGCACGAGTGGTTCTATCTACAACAGAAATGACCTTTCCTTGTGGCTGGTACCGGATACAACTCCTTCTTTTCTGCCAGCTAGCTGCTATCACCGGTAACCGTCCGGGGGCACTATTGAAACTTCGCTTCCAGGACCTCAAGTTGACATTAGTTCGAGATCCAAATGGTGGACGACCCCGACTGTTCATTTATTTGAGGCCGGAATTCACAAAAACATTCCTTGGCGGGAAAGAGTCGTAAGAATGTCCCCTGTCTTTTGCTTCCTTCCCTCCCCATTCAATTCACCCCTGATTTCCCTGCGCAATTCTGTATGCTGAAGTTCTTCCGCCAACGGACCCAGTCAAAGCTTGCTCACCATTTTGGAATAGGAACACGTTCCCAATTCCGGAAATCATCTTTGATCCCACCCTGGTTCTCAGTCCTCATGTTTTTCTGCTGGGTATGCTCTTCAGGATTGGTGCATTCAAAAGTCTGTCCAAAGACGGCCCTGTGATGGATTGCCCTGAGAAATTGTACCGTCTCCGGGTCCTCCATGGTCTTGGTGAGCAGGAATTAAAGCTAAAAGACGAAATTCTCGATCAAAATGTGTTTTGCCAAGCACTTCGGGAGCCTGGTGGGATTCGAATTGCACCAGAAGAAAAACTTACCAAGGGATGGCTGAGTTACCGAATGAAACGAGGTGGTGAAATTACAGGTTTCGCGGAAGTCGCGAAGCCCTACTGCCTCCGATATGGCGCAGCAAAAGCGTTCAACGATAGCCGTGAGTGAGACATTGTGCATGATAGGATCCCAGGCTAATGCTTCCCTTTAATCAGCGGATGTGTCCAATGAACTACAGAACGTGATGCTGCAGCATGCCAGTATCGATACTTTTGTTCGGCACTACAGCGTGGGTATTCATGTAGATGCCCAGGCAATTGTACGGGGCCTGCCCGCTCAGAAGCAGCTCATGCGGTTTGCCTCCTCGATGAGTCGGTCTATTGATCCCCGCAGACCCTATCGACTAGAGGATTCGAGCTGTATCAATGAAATTCCCCGTGTCCGCACTCTGGAAGAAAGGAAGCAGGCGCGGAAACAAGTTCGAGATGCTAAGAAGCGCACCTATGAAAATGCCCAGGCTGCATTACAGCGGGAGTTTGGTGATAAACTTTCGCGGGAAAACTTCCCTCATTCCCAAATGATCCGCAAGCGACGGAAAGCTCAAGAGAAGAGTGTGAAAAAGCTACAGCAAAAGTTTGATCATGCAGATGAGCAGTATAGTCGCTCGATTAAGCAACTACGGAACGAGAAAGGGCGGCAACGGAACCGCTTGATTCGTGTGAACCTGGAGCGTTTCAAGAACGAACAGCCAGTGGTCGACAGTGAACGACAACTTTCCGGAAAGATTGTTGACGAAGAAGTATTGGTTGCGCTGGAGCGAACAGGCTACATGACACCGCAGCATATGACACTTATCGACACTGTCCTGACGATGCCAGGTACGACGATTGAGAAAGAATATGAGCGTCGAGTTGCTGCAATCAATGCAGTGATTGCGGTCTGTGATGCAGAAGAGGGTGCACCCTCGCGGTCTCGTGTCGCCCGAAAACGCTCCGCCGATGCTGGCAATATGCTACCGACTGCCCCCCTGCCTAAAAGGCAGAATTCAACCCCTTCAGGTGAGAGCGACGATGCTTTTTCCAAAGCTATCGCTTCGGTTTGCGTCAAATCTCCAGAAGAGAGACCGACTATTTGCTTTATTTGCATTGGTACCCCTGGACTGCCACAGAGCGAACGTCTGAGGATGTACAAGAACTCTGGATCTCTGAGCCGACACTTCGTCAGTAAGCATGTCAAGCCGTTTTCGAATGACATGCGCTGTGAGTGCTCTATTTGCGGGGAGAAGTTGGAGTCAAAGTCTATGCTATTGAACCATGCAGAAAGGGTGCATGGAACTGTCTCACGCTCTTCTAAAACAGCCCTTGGGCTGACATAGATACGAAATGGTCTCCGTTTTATCACTTTGTGAAGGTGTAACCGGGGTTCAGGTTTGGGGGTGTAATATTATATATCTTAGTTGGGGTCTATAGACCTGTTTAGCTATTGTAGAGCGGGTCTTTGCGGTGTAAGAAGAATGATGGATTTTCGCTTCCAAAAATTTGGTCAATTCCGAGTAAAGGGTATGTCGAACTGAGGGGTGGTATTTTACCACTAAGGACAGGGTTATTCATCAAGTACCCATTCCCTCTTTGTCTCTGTATGGTAAACGGGGTACGCTCGGCATACCAGCGTTGTAACACGCTAGGAACGACTCCTGAGATCTGATAACACTTCAACAGCAAGATCCAGATAGAACAATCAATGCATCTCAATGGGACACCTCAATACTAGCACATACCAGTATCCGTCAATCCGACAGGGTATTCTGTTGGTGTAAGGTACGGAGTATCACCACATGAATGAACCTCGTTTCTCATGTCATGGTTTTTTTAATTTTAATTTTATGATTGTAGTCGTATGAAGTATAATACTCGTCTCACGCCAGGCTGTGTCAGTTTGCGTGATGCCTCGAACTAGACGTAGGCCTTGTTGTTTATGGACTGACGGGGCGGGCCACCAGTGCATCTAGCTCTCCTATATTCTGTAGTATAGGTTTGCCTGTTATTTCCGAATCCTCTAAGCAGTCTTGTATTGCGAGTCCGAATCTTGAGACTGTAGCATGGCATCACAGCACAGGCTAGGTTGCAACCGACGAGTAAGACGGGAACCAGTCTTCAGGCGTCTTTGAACCGGCGATATACACTCCGCGCCTTACGGACAAAGCTCAGGCCCATCAACACCCTACCGGTATTGAAAGCTTTGTTAGTCGGCATGGCACTATTACTGTATGTTACAGCGCGGTTCTTCCGGTATGGTAAAAGTTACCATACAAAACATAAAGCGATGCTTAGTGGGTAACGAATAACCAAGTGTGACAATACCGTGCGGGGAACTCACAAAATTTCCCCCATCGGAGTTGACACCCGGTTCTGCCACCGCTGAACCAACCCTGAGCCTACCTGGAGCCAACCCTGAGCCCACCCTGAGCCCACCCTGAGCCTACCCTGAGCCTACCTGAGCCCACCCTGAGCCTACCTGGAGCCTACCCTGAGCATACCTGAGCCTACCTGGAGCCCACCCTGAGCCCACCCTGAGCCTACCTGGAGCCTACCCTGAGCCCACCCTGAGCCTACCTGGAGCCTACCCTGAGCCTACCTGGAGCCTACCCTGAGCCTACCTGGAGCCTACCCTGAGCCTATCTGGAGCCTACCCTGAACATACCTGAGCCTACCTGGAGCCCACCCTGAGCCTACCTGGAGCCTATTCAGATCCGAAAAATAGACATCTTCGAATTACTACTTTTAGTTGTGTTCGGGTGTTATTCCGAAGACAGAAGATCGCCAATAAAAATTTTTGTATTCTTTGCTTCCTATTGGATTTGTACAATGATTACTTCCTCTGCATGTTGTTCATATTAAGTATAGATTCTCTTTCGATTTTATACCCGTAAGTAGAATAGACTGCAGTTATAATATATATTTGATTGCGACAAAACCCTGTGAGCTACCAGGAACAGAACGCTTGACGCGAAAAGTACGCCGTACGTAATGATCAATTTATCGTGGCACACGCTCCTTTGATAGTGGAAAGTCAAAGTCCTATTCCAGTATCACAGCTTCTCCCCTTGGAAAGCGAGACCCATTTGCTAGTCTTCGCTGCGGACTTGCCTTGTGTTTGTGGGTTGCCAGAAAGAAATAGAATACCCTTATATGTAGCAAGAGAACTGTAGGAGACGCGTAGAATGTTGCACATTCGTGAAACCGTGCAGATACGAGCATGACAGAAATTCGCCAATACCAAAGAGTCGTGCACCATATCCTTGTCTCCTAGCACTCTTTAGAATGGGGATTGTAAACGCAATTCAAACTACTGGAGAGCAGAGATGCTCTAGCGAGAACGACCAGATCCTCGCTTGGGCGGTGCTTCCCCGCCAACAAGGGTTGCTGCTGGACATTAGCATTATACGATACCTTGCTGGGAGAACTCACATTTCTCAGAGACTTGATTGATCCTGCCGTCTCGGTAGCGGACAGAAAACCCACAGCGGCAGAATCGATTGGCCATCGCTCCAGATCATTCACGCCAACAACGCCTTGATCTTTGTCATATTTCTGCATGAGCCGCATTGTGATCGAGGGAAGAGCCGCAATATATGCGGCTTCAGATTGCCTTGGCGTGCAATCTATACAAAGGTCCAGACTTGCTGCGAAGTGTTAGTCAGATAATGCAAGGATGCGGCCACCAACAAACCTATCTTAACGATCCCGTCAATGCCAAACAATATATCATCACAGGTTAATGATTGGTGCGCAAGGCCAAACCTAAATAAATAACAGGCACCGTCGAGGATCTAAAGAGTCAGAACAGCTCATCGAAAGGGCATGGGGGACAAACCTGGCTTACGATGGATCCCAATTCTGTCTCGTTGGGATAAACGGATGGAAAAGCCACAACGTGCGCGAGCGTCAGCGGCAAATCATCCACCAAGAAGAACGCGAGATCTTCGTGCATGTAGCATTCGTGTAATGAAAGAACGTTCCTGTGTTCTAGACGTCCGAATCTGTATATCAGTCTTCGAGCATTCTCTTTCGCGTATGTCCGGATTGCTACCATGCGAGACGGGCGGGTGCGGCGTGTGGCAATGGTGACTTTGCCAGCAATTTCATATGTAATGACTTTCCGATAGGTATCCCACGGCGATTCCTGTCTTACAATCAAGACGGATGCAATGTTTTCCAGACCACACAAGTGGGGTAGGCAAAGGCTCTTGGGAGGCCCCGTGACAACCTTCACTCTGCTGCCGCAGTGAGGCCCAGTTGGTTTCGTGGTGGCCGCCGCATGAATCTCGCAGGTATTGGTGGCCGACATCGAAATGGGGAGCTGAGATTGAGCATTGATAGTGTCAAGGTCACATATCATGTTGTCTTTGAACGGGTTGGATGACATGATGACGGGAGTATGTTTTCCCCGATCAAATACTTGCAAGAATCAAGACAGGAAGTGAAATTCAAATTATTTATACGCGCGGTGTTGAAGATTTGCACTCGTCAATGAAGTAGATGAGAGCTTTGACCGATTTTCAAAAGAAGAGGCTTATCAGCCACGGGGCTTACATACAAACAACTATCCGCATGTATAACCTTTGCGACTGCTATGTGCTGGTCAGCCCTCATGAAAATGAGTCTCGAGCTAATTGAGGTTTCCATACTAATGGGCACATGACCGCATTGCTCAGCATAGTGGCCCCCTAACTCAACTTCCTTAGAATCCTGTTACCCATAACAGGGCTTTCCAGTAATGGGAGGCTGTTCACCAATGGAATGGAATAATGGAATCTAGGATTCAAATAACTGACAGCGCGAAGAGGAAAAAAAAAGAAAAAGGAAAACATGCCACAAGCTGTCAAATAAGCCAGAGTCTGCGGCAACTTCTTTGTAATGATGGCCTCATTTACCTTGTTTGATCCATGACATGTTCATGTCAACGAGTGCACAGGATCAAACATAAGATGGTTATTACAGTAATTGGTAGGCTCGGGGAATGATAAACTTGCCAGTCATTTTTGCGCTGCGCAACGGTAGTTCCACTTACGTAGCCTATTAATGATAACTAGCGACTTATATGCGACCAGGGTCTAATTAAAGCCACAACAGCTATATTCGACAAATGAAGGGAGAGAATCCGATGGACTTGGTTATGGTCATGTATGACTTTGGCTTGGAAGCCCGCTTTTCAGCACGGCGAGTCGCCCTCACATGATTCTCCGACTAGTACTGCTACGGCTGCTCTGGGTCTCGACGCTCTAGGCTTTCCTGTCTTACCAATACTTGAGTCGACTCCAGTTGACAAGTGATGTCTTATTGGTCCATTTGGATTAATGTGCTGGTACTTAGATATAGAAAGACCGCAAAAAAGCCGAGTTGTAAGGTCCAACAGCCATGAACGGATTAGCAGAATGGCGCAAATGCCTCAGTTCTGGTAGATGGTACAACAAAAGCCATTGCATCGCTGCAAGTGAAGCAGGTTGAGTAACCCAAAGAGTGGCTGGCTTTGGTATTCGAGGTGATTTGGCTTTTGAAAATGCTATTGCTTCCTCATTCCAATGCCCGATCTATCTGGTAGATTCTGTCTGATCTTTCTAATCTCTATTGCATTGAGTGGAGATGAAGATGCACCTGGCTTTCGCATATTTACTTTTGCTTGTCGAGTGGACTCACATCACCTACAGGATAACGTCCAACCCATCTTCGTGCCTGAAAGGGTTCTATCCATGACTAATAAACTTGAAGCTCAGCACGTTCTTAAATATACCGATTCTTGGTTCCCCAACATTTTATTTGATCTTCAATTTTCAAGGACCAGTTATGTTATCCGAACATAGCGAGCTAGGTTAGAAAAACAGAAAGCGCCTCAATCATATAGCCGCTCCTCATCTACAGCAGCACATTGCCGGCACTTCTCTCCTGGCTGTGTTGGTGCGGGATCAAGATCGGAGACAGCGTCAGTTTCCACCTCTTTCCTCGCGATGATCTCTTCGTATCTGCTCTGTAGCATCCGTGTGGCGAGATGCATAGTGGCCCACTCCCTGGATGAAATGGTGTCGAAAATCAAGATGCGATCGGATAGCGTTTGTAGGTATTGAATTGTGTCGTTGAGCATTTCAGTACTAACTATTGTAAGGCTTGGGGGACTCTTCCGATGCATCAGCTGTGAACGTCCTGGTTTTTGAGAGGCGGAGTACGAAATCCGGCGTTGTTTTCGTGGGAGGGATGAGGACTTGGCTGCTCTCTTTTTTGCGTTTGTTGGGGGAAAGTCTTGATTTTCAGCCTTGATGGCGATTGGAGGCAACGTGTAGGACCCTGGGCTAGCAAGAGAGGTAGCAACAGAAGTAGCCACCTCTGTAGCTACAGATCCGGTGGGCTGGTCAACAGAGGGCTGTAGAACTTGGCTTGTGTGGCCGCGATTCCCATGGGTAAATTGACCAACCACCCGACGGAAATTTTCAGCCGATTCATTGCCTCCATGAGATAGATTGTCAGCCGATGGATTCCTTGAGAAGGGGATCTAAGATAACAATACCAGTTTGCCATGTAATTCCATTGTGCTCTTCTGTGTCTGGGGTATTGGACTGCTTTGATACCTTTGGCAGCTCATTATCCATGATGATTGCTTGGTCTTTCTAGTGATGGTGCTGCACCGGCAATTCACTGGATCAAAAGAAAGGCAGAGAGGCATCCACAATGGGACTCTCATGAGCTTTTAAATGTTTGATGTTCGCCACGAGCTATATGTCCACTATCCTGTTTTCGCTGGCTACTAATATCAGTGCCGGCTCCCAGGAGGATTGCGGATGTTGATATTTTGTCTCAATGACGGTCGAGTCAACGATGTTTTGATTCGGTTGCCGTATCCACGTGTTTCCCGAGCCATCAATTGATTTGAAGCGCATTCCCGGGAGCAGCCTGGCTGCCAGATTGGAGTTGGTCATGAATAGAAACATGCGGAAGGGAGTTGTATTCCGATATCTCGGAGGCTACTATTGCGTCATGGTTGGTTCATCAGTCCGAAAAGCCACAGTAAAAAGGACGACCAGTGGAGTCTTTATTGTGCTTCCAGGAGTACTGGGGCTTTTTGGCATCCTCAATAATAGCCCGCTGGTAGCCCGCTGGTATGATACCACCCCTAGGGTGTTTTCACATCAATGTGCTTCCAGCAGCACTGCTCCTTTGGACTATTTTGAAATAGCTCGGTAATATTGTGCTGATACATCCGCTGGGTATTCTCCGATAACCACCTCTAAAGATGTACGGGTGGTGAATTATGTGAGAAAGTTGATGTCAACGTTCACATCAACGTTGAACCAAGAAACCACTGAACTCCAACAGCAGATGAGTTTTTCGCCCATAAATAGCTCGTTGAGCTATATTACTTACCTGATTACTAGCAGGACTTTATTCAATTTCCCGGTTCAGAATTGATTCTTAATCGGCCGCGTTGGTTCACCGAACAATGAGGGTTGCCTTACGGTTGGAAGCAGATCCTCTAGCTGGCAACAAATACAGTAAGCTCAACAGAAACGAAATAAAATTGAATTTGTCTTCCTGTGGAAGGGTTCGGAAGTTCGTCAATCAATAGCACATAATATGTCCCTCAAGGTAAAAATACCAAGGCAAAATCTGTCTGTATCGGAACTTTTTCTGGGATCACGATTTGGCTTGAAATATGATATGCACAATCCATCACCCATATTGGAGGTGATGATAATATACTGGCCCCATTCACAGGACGGTCAATCCTAGGAATACACGAGGTCATTCCTAAAGCTTCTTTACACCAAGGATCGGACACGGGTTCCGTGGCCCTGGATCTCAGAGATAGAAATAGTGCTTCTACTTGAAACCTTCTTACCGAGAAAAGCGCATAGCACATATAAATTCACGGCGCCCTGAGATATTCACGTTCTTCATCTTTTTGCCTCATTGTTTACTTCCTCACATATAGCCCTGAACAGAACCAAACTCACTTTCCTGTTATCGACTCAACTGTTTTTACGGACAAAAAATGCCTCTTAATACTACCAGGGCTGTGATTCGAATGCGTCTTGCCATCCTTTTCCTTGCCATCACTTGGCTGGCCCTCGCCGGTCTCAGCTCGGCCACTGTACGCTTTGCGGTCGTTCTGCGAGACCGCGCAAAATCTGACCTCGTTAACTCGAGCGACTCTATTTTGGACATCACATTTCAAAGCCTCATGGATAAGGTTGTCGTGAGCATGGTGGTTGTGGCGTTGGTCTCAACCCTGTTTTCCATCTTTGGGTTTGTCCTTGTGATCTATCCGAAGTGGCTACAAGAGGACGGCACCGCTCGATTCTACTACATTTGCATTAAAATCGTTGTGAGCTTGATCGTTCTCTCCTTAGGGGCTTATGTGGCCAGCCATGTCCACGGCTTTCAGACATCCTTCGAGTTTTTTGACAGTGCGAGCCACTTTCCATACTACAAGATTATGTATTATGGAGCCGTTGGCCAGGCCGCTTTCGGTGTTCTAGGGGCCATTATGTCTCTCCTGCGTCTTGCTTTACGTGGCTTACGCGATCACTGGTTGAGTACGCGTACCGAGCTACAAAACAGTCAGAGGCGGTTCGAGCTGCTTCCTAGAGTAGGGCTGTGAAGAACAAGTCAGCGGGGATTACGAATAAAAACAATCACAGAACTTGATGATGATTTTTCAAGAATGATGGAGGTGGAGTCCAAAAACATTAGAGGTGCGATGAGTAGGGTCATGGACTTTACAGAGTTGATAAGATAATCTACCAATTTAGTTTCCTGATTGGAACCAAAGCATGCTCATCGATTGATTTGACTAACCAGCCAATCGTAGCCAATATTTGAGCAGTATGCCGGGTGGCTTGATGTAGCAGACTGGTGATGGTTGACGACCTGCTCTGCGCAAATATCCATCAACCTTGGTGGCCGTCAATATTTCAAAAGCCGACCCGACAATAATGCGAGCTGCCCAGGGATCACATAGCCCCAGGAACTCGTACGTAACCTCTAGACTCTCCATTTCCACCCTCACAAAATCAGTCACGCCCCTGTTGACAGCTCTATCAGCCCTGGGAATGCACATCTTCGCCCTAGGAGATCCCTTGCTCCCAGGGGCTTTAGTGCAGCTTCTGGGAGCCACGTAGCCCCCCCAGGAAGCCCGACATAGCATCTGGGGTCTAATATATTCACCTCGGGGAACCAAAGTCACGTTCCTGTTGACAGTTTCAGCAATTCCCGAAACCTCAAGTGCGGCTCCTGGGGCTATGGCTAAGCCTTTCCGGGAGTAATCGAATTACGCAGGTTTGTGCGCAGGTCTGGTGAAGGTGTCTTGTGAGGGCTTTCCGCGACCTCAGAAGGCAGAATATTGACTCTAGGATCCAGGAGGAGGGTCCCTAATCCCGACAGCTCCCAGATCCAGCCATCGTGTTCCCAAAACCAGTTCGTATTTAATCAGGATCGTATAGTGGAGATCCCAGGGGTAGAACTCGGTTTCCTGGAAACAGGAAATGGCCCCAGGATCTAAAAACGAGTTCCCAAAGATTAAACAGCCCCTATATTATCACAGTCAAATCAACAATGTTGGTTGATTAAATATATACACAAGTTAAGACATGAAACAAACTGCGAATAGCATGTCTGCGTACATCACCATCTAGCACTTGCAAATATGAAGTGATCACGTACTGCGGTATGTCTCATTCCAGATCACTGTTGCTCTATTGCGACGAACATACATCAGTGGAATGGCCGGCTGCTGCTGTGGGTAGCATAGTCGGCGAGGTTGCGGGTTGCCTATGGAAACTTCGATGTGCGTGTTGGGCTCTCATTCGCTTCAAGGAACTGAGAGCTCTCGATGCATCAAGTGTTCCGCATATCATTTATCTACACGCTGCGTATGCTTCATGTATAATCCTTTCAAATGCGACCAGAGTTCCCATGAATTAACAACCTCTTTTTAGGAATGCGACAGGAATTTTTGGTAGCCAACTAAGTCTAGACTTCATTGCTCGGGCATATAATAGGGACCCAGCGAGATGAATTGCCTGACTACTGCTTTCTCAAACATCTATACATTGCACTGTTCCTACATGATTACAGGTACCACTCAAAATTACATTTCTTCGGCCGAAAGACTATACCTCGAATATCACATCATCCCAAACGCGTTTCCAGAAAATCTTCTCATCATGGCCTGGAGCTCTGCTCATCTCCAACTGGTATTGGGCCAAGTTTTGGGCGATCCGCCGCACCGTGAGCGGTGCATCTGGGTGGCAGATGACGCAAATCACTGTCCAAACACCGTGCCGATTGACTCCCAGATAGATGCAGTACTGTGCTTTCAGCTGTCCCAGGGGCCTCCTTTCGCATATCCACCAGCGCAGAGGTTATCTTTGGCTGCAAAGCAATTGTTGTGTTTTGAGCGCAGACGCCATAGCCGTCGACCAAAAGTGTGGGCCAACCGAATTTTGCGTTTGTTGGATGCTCCCCTGGATCAAGCCAAAACTTCATGGTTCAATCGGAAACTCATGATTCGCTTTTTTGGTGCATCCATGGCCAAGCAGTATGTTCCACAGCGTTGGCGTGGCCATGTGTCCCGATGAGGCCTCAAAAGCCAGAAGAGACTATCCAAAGGGGCAAATCTAACGGCAATCCCCCGCATGCACTGAGGTTGGCCAGAGCCGTGGCAATCAGTCGTTCCGATCTTCTCAAGACAACAAACCGCTGCAGTTGGGCTGTATCGATGACATACCTCCAGTGACGAGCATGAAGTTCATTGATAAAGGAATTTGGTACTCGTGCATGGCATATGATCACTTACGTTCTCTCGCCACTGTCGCATGCTTTGCACGAAAGTGGCCACCCGAAGACTCTCGTTCTGTCATAACCGAGTCGCCTAGCTCGTTGCTCTTCTCGCGGGCTCTGGAACTGAAGATCAGTTTATTTTGAGTCTGCCCTGAGAACCCTCTCGTGGCAAATTGAAAACCGATCGAGATCTCTGTTGTCTCCTTTTTGTGACATACTATCTTCGTTGACGGGCACCTCTGGGGACGGGGCGGCTGATCGTCGTGTGCGTTCCGATTCAGAAGAGACGGCAGATGGATCTGGGAGAAATTTTGATCGGCTGGGAAAGAAGACTTGGATTCGATGTTGAACCAGCCGCTTAAGCCTTTGAAAACGAGAGAATAAATTTTTGAGATATCTCCACATTTTCTTCGCGTCTTTGGTGTACATATAGAAGACTTGAAGAATGGAAGTTGTAGGAGATCGGGTAACTATTACCTCCGAATCATGCGGAACGGGACTGGAGAATATAACTCCGTTCAAACAATTTCAGCGCTGTCGCCAGGGAGCAGAAATTAGAGAAAGAAAAAAACAATTCAGAGCTGGTCCGTAAGAGCGAGCGAAAATCACTACTTCAACATCTGTTGCTGCGTAGCCATATTTGGAGCGGAAATATCTAATATCTACATCACCACCTTTTGGATAGTTCGCACCCAACGTCACCTCCAACTTCAACGAACACTACTCGATGTATAGTATTTTATGCCTCAAAAATTACACATGTGAACTACTATCAGGAGGTAGTTCCTGCAAGTCTTCGTTTCAAGGCTTC